CAGCAGTGCTTATGTCGCTCTCTTTTCATGGCAGCAGGTGCATTACGGACCCTTAGCTCATTGCTCCAGGCAGATTGCACCCAAACCAATCCATCTTGTGATGGATTGGTTTGATTGTGCCATGTGATTGCATCACAAGGCGCATCTTAGCATCATGGATTACGTATCTTGACTGAAACATCTTGCTTAACTATCAGGGCTTGCTTGTTTCATCTTTGGTCATCCTGGCTTGCGGGTTAGCTAGATCATTGCGTCCCCATCTCACTTCTCAGCTCATCATGGCTCCCATATCACGTCCCCAGCTCATTGCTGCATGGGCGTGTGTTCTTTGCTCGCACCCTTAGCTCATCGCTATGTAGAGCTCGTCTGTAGTTGTGGTGGGCAAGAGCACTCAGCCGCAGCTTCATTGCTGTTATCCCCACAGTCCTGACCTCATCATTATTTTCAAGCGTCATTGTCTCCTTGCTTGGTCGGCTCTTTTTGCTATTGCGCGTCATCCCCAGCGTTGCTCTATCATTTCCAGGCTCCTTGATCTGGCTATTGCGTTTTCTTCCTTCTTGTTCAGGTTCACTGTTTGCCTTCTGACTTTTCTTTTCGTCTATACTGCTTCTCGATTGGATTTGAAATATTTGTACTATCATCATTCTGTCTGCAGCATACTTTTACGGATGATGCCCCATCCATAGGTTTTGGGGGGGGTTCTTTCAAACACATGTTAAGTGTATGTAGTGTAATACAGTGCAAAGATACCAGTTGCTGAATTGCATCGATTTCCGTCACTTTATAGTGCATAGGATTCAAAAGGCTGACATTTTTCCCCGTAAGGTTTGGACAACCGTCCATTGTGACACCAGCCAGTCTGTCCCATGTTAGTCCCAGTGTGTCCATGCATGTACTGCACGTACATATACTTCCACAAACAGATTGCTCCCGGTTGTCGTTTCTTTCATCGAACACATCGCTGCCAGCCCTTCCGTAATCTTTAAGTCTGATGTTACTCCATGGACAAATATGAGTAACTGCTCTGTGTCATGGGCTTCACATCTCTGATCCAAAGCCAAGGTGAAAAAGTTAAAACTTGCCACTTCGCTTTGATGCTGAAGCTCCAGATTCCCAGCAACGTGCTCATTCTTTGTTGCTACGGTCAGCCTCAACAACGGGATTTGCTCAAATGCTTCTTTTGACAGGGCATATTAGTGCTGTAGAGTCCACCAAGCACTCTTTGACAAACTCCCCCGAGAACGGCTTACTGATTTTAGTGATTTTGTGGGATATTACAGCTGGTCCTGGTTGTTGCATCACTGGACATTTGAAAGTTGGTAAAAAAAAAAAAAAGCCTTGCTTCTTTTGCAGCTTAGCAAACCAAACTTCCGATGTCTGTGCATTTTCGGCATCATTCATGTTTCTGTATTTCTTCGTGTGTTTTATCTCATAATGCCGATTCAAATTTAAATCCTTTAACGTGGCGATCTGCTCCCCACAAAGTAAACACACAGCTTTACCCCCTACTTCCATAAATAAATACTTATCTGTCCAATTTTTGTTGAAAACTCGGCATCTAGCATTCTTTTTTTTAGTATGAACAGACATTTTCCAGGGCTAAAGTAAAAACATTGTAACAAAGTTCCAATCATGTGCACGCCTTGATGCATTATTACTAGGGATGTCCCGATCAGCATTTTAGGCCTCCGATCCTTATCCGATCTTTTAACCCCAAATCTGATCCTATTTTGTGTCCTGATCCGATATTTTCTCTTTAGTAGTGAAATAGATAAAACTCAAATATATTTTGAGCAAGTAACTCAACTTTTTATTAGACTAATATCTGATCGAAAAGCATAACTATTATTATACTATTATTATTGTAAATCCCATGAAATCAAAATCATACCCAAGATTAAAGGTCAGCTTCAATTTTATATTTTAGACAAAACTAAAAAGAAAAATACTGACTTGGTACAGTATTATCAAATAGAAAGTGCTATCTAAGATCCACTTTTTGCTTATAAGTGAATAATATAGGCTGCCATAAAGTCAATTAAAATAAAATGCACTAACCACTAAGCAAATTTAAAATGCCCTTGCTCATCTTAAATGTGGTGTAAACAGAATTCATTCAAATGAATTCAAAACTTAAGGACTGCAACTTAAAAGTAGCATGATCACTGAAACATGATCAAAATCAACTGGAGAACTGGGACAGTACTTTTGCACCATGTTATAATTGAGACATTGGGAGTGACAGTACCAACCCGTTTTTGCTATGTAACTGTTAAAAATGTGTTTAAATCTGCAACAAGAAATTGCTTTTGTAATCTTACATAAAGGTGAAATATGATAAGATAAAATAATGTAACTTTTTAAGTGTGTACAATAAAATATATATTAACTGTGTTTAAA